GGGAGGGGGGGGGGACAAAAAGTCCCACACAAAGTGTAAGATTTTATTTGAACAGCCTCAAAACCACGCCGGCCACACCTGTCCAACGTCAGCGAGAGTTTAAGGACCTGACGCATGTGTCAGGGGACAAACTGTTTTTGTACTCCAAGCAATTTTTTTTTTGGGTGGACATTGACATTTAACTTTTGATTTTGATCCAACAAAACTCATATTGGTTACTTTTGATAGCAATGAGCATAGCAACAATACAATGTATTCCAATAGTTCCGTGGCATTGTTTTAGCTATATGTACGCCTTGCAACTTTTCTTGCAACTTTTGCTACTTTTTCTTGCAACTTTTGCTACTTTTTCTTGCAACTTTTTGCAACTTTTGCTATTTTCAAATGCAACTTTCTCTGAGGACAGGGTTACTGTGCCACTCTGCCTGAGCTCCTGAGCAATTATATTTTTCTAACATTCATATGATCATCAGAATCACATTCCTCCATATCCCACTGAGGGTAATCCTCGTCATTACCAGCATCTAATTCAGAAAGACCTTCAAAATAACCAATAAAGTCTTTTGTAGTAAACCCTGTTTACCGTAACGGTACACGTTTTGTCTCAGGCGGGCCGGGTTGGGGATGCGGTCTCACTCACCGTTGTACCAATGGCTAGGCATACATGCAGTTTTAGGCACCACCAGTGTACCGGTGGCAATGGCTCAAAGTGTTATAGACTTTTCGGGTGACACATTCTGATGAAATTCAGGAGTGGTTATTTCCAATCATTTTGTCCTTGATGAAGTATTCTTTTCAGTTTTTGGATTGCAAAACACCATTTTATTTTTAAAAAATTTTTTTTGGGGGGGGGGGGATTTTTTGTATTATCAAACGATGGTTTGTTCTTCAGCATAATGTGTTTTAAGTCTCAAAGCAATATATCTGAACAACAAAAGTGAAGCTACATTGAGAAAAAATCATCAAGGTTTAGCCACACTGAAAAAAATGAACAGAGGTGAAGGATAAAATCTGTCATTTTATTTGTTATATATATTTAAAAACTGTTAAATACACTCGTGGCATTGACAAGATTTGTAAGAAGCATTGGTACAATTAAAAAATTATAAGGGACCATTAGAATGAAAATATTGAAAAGAAACTGTGATGAAAATCAATTCACCATTTGTAAATCTGTTGACTATGGTATAGACTGTTGAGAGAAGCCCAAAATGATAAGATAATAAAATAATAGTACAATAAAATGTATTATTTTTAGACAATTACAGTTGTCCAATTAATATTAAAATGGTCATGGCTCTTCATCCTTCTCGACTGTCTGTAAATCACTTGACACTAAAAAAGGATATGCAGAATGTCCAACAAAAAATTTGGAAGGACTTCCATAATGAGCAACCACCGCAACAAACACAATAAAGTAGAGACTTAACTTTAACCCTTAACCTTAATCCCTGGCCCTAACCCTAACCCGGCTAGCTGTCACCTGATCCTAGCCCTAACCAAATGCTAAACCCTATTTCTTACCTTCCCCCTAACCCTAACCCTCTGTCTATAAAAATTTCATAACGGTCACTCGTTACAGAATTCCGTCCGTGAATTTGGTAGTTTAGTTGAAGTAATTAGTGTCTGACTGTTATAATTTCATAATGATTTTTGACAATGAAATAAGAATGTCTGGGATTAAATTAAGGCCGGCTCTATTCCTCCCAACGTTCGGGAAAATAAACTTGAACTTTATTTCTCCATACAGTTTCCGTTCTCGAGATATATGTTGATAATAAGTGTGTGTGTGTGTGTGTGTGTGTGTGTGTGTGTGTGTGTGTGTGTGTGTGGGTGTGGGTGTGGGTGTGGGTGTGTGTGGGTGTGTGTGTGGGTGTGTATGTATGTGTTTGTTTTGTGTGTGGTTGGGGTGAGAGAGAAATCTAGAGAGAGAGAGAGAGAGAGAGAGAAAATGTAATAGTGTATGTGTGTGTGTGTGTGTGTGTGTGTAAGGTGTGAGCGGGGCGTGGGGGTGGGGAGGGATTTTTTTTTTACATGAAAGATTTTAGTTTTTGCTGAGTGACTAAATGCAAAATAGGTCATTGTCAAGTTCGATCAGTCTTGTTCTCTCGCAGTACCTTTTGAAGGTATTTTCAAATGAAGTATAGTCCGGGAACGTTGCCCCAACCACAACTGAAGTATCTGAATATTCAGACATTTTAAAATCTCCAGCTCTAGAAATTGAATTCGATGCAAAAAATGCTTCTTCCCAGTCCTTGCAGAATGGCAGAATGAAAGATGAGATGACGCCGAAATCTCGCAAATTTAAACTAAATAATTCTCGAGAACAGAAACCGTTCAGAGAAATAGAGTTCAAGTTTATTTTCCCGAACGTTCGGAGAAATAGTCACTTCGTTAAATTAAACCAAGAGGCTATTCTCTGGCGTCTCGCCGGTCAATAGATCAATGGCTATTCTCCGGCGTCACGTATAGTTGTACATGTCGCTTCTCTACAGCTTTCCATCTCCCCTGTAGACATGTATTAAGGCCTTACACAGACACTCATCAGGGTCGACATTTCTTCAGAATGCGATTTACCGTAGATGGACATGCAGCCACTACTCAAGAAAGCTCCAGTGACGGAAGAAGGAAGAATTTCTCTGTCAGAGGTGACAGCACCAGAAGCGCCATAACAACCCTCAGTCACAACCAGAAGTACTAGATCTAGATTTTAGTTTTAAAGGCGCATCAGGCACTGAACTCAGTTGCAACAATAATGGCCATAACGTGCCAACAGGGGAGATGGAAAGCTGTGAAGAAACGACATGCAGGCGCGGTTCGTCCATAGAGTACGGTCGTGCAGTGCCACCCAAAATTTTTTAATGTTCTGTTACGTAAAACACCCACAACAATAACACTAGCCAAATATTATATCAAAACAATATCCTCACTGGCGCAATAACTGTCATTTCTGTGTCTATAGCGCCGTAAAACATCTACTATGCTATGCCAAAGTCCACGCGCTTTAGCTAAACATAATAGTAATAGGATATTCAACAGTGTAACTTGACCTATAAATCGCTCTCAGGGAAAACCCAAGCGATGACGACACTCGTAGCGAGTTTGGCAGTACATTAATATAAACAAGACGGCACATCTCAAATGTGCTCCTGTAGAGAATAGTGCCGAAACATAGCCCACAGTAGGCAGTCTAAAAATAAACACAATAGACCATACGCTATTCTTTGCCAATATTATGTGAGCAACGGAGCAATCCAGCGGAGTGCTCGAATTGTGATTGCTTCATTGTCTGTCTTGCCACTATTTTAAGTGACTCTGTGACCGTGAACCTGAGGGAGGTGAACGTGACCGCCCTATGAGTTTTGTGCCTTTGAATGGTTTTCAAGTGGAATAGTGAGTTATTACTTGAGTGTTCAGTTCCAATACAGGATGAACGAAATTGATGTTTAGCTAATAAATTTAGTACTACAAATCAAAGCGACAAGTAAAAAGAATGAAAATAAAAGCACGAGGTCCTCCCTCACCAATCCAAAGATCCTAAAATTATAGATTCTACACCGTCTCATTTACTAGATCTATGCCCTTGACTATCTTCAGCCTGCGATTGTTTAACTGTGCACGCCCACTTTTTAGCCCCACGAGCCGCCCCTGGCGACATGCGCAACTATACATGACGCAGGAGAATAGCCAAAGATCTAGATAATCTAGATCTAATAACCAGCGTGACGCCGGAGGATAGCCACTTGTGCTAAATTAAATGATGCAATGAGGAGACCCTCTGTCATTCTTTTGTAAAGCCATCATGTAAAGTAGCAATTTCTTCTCGTCTCTATGGAATAGCAGTATCATGTAGATATCCTTACTGAAGTGAAGATTCATAGGCTCCAGACATACTTGGCCTATAGATCTATGACTCGACTAAACTAACCTCCGCTATAATAATTGCAGCTTTTTTTATATTTTCTCATTCAGACTTTGACGTTGCATTCAAGTTGGAACTGTCGAACAGTCCAGTCCTCATCAGAGGAAAAAACATCGGAAACATTCAACATCTTTACATAGGCTAAAACTTGCTAGCCACTGCTGTAGGCCTACATCTGAATAGAAACGCAATACACACCTTCTGACGAAAAAGTTGGAAGCGCTTCTCAGGATACTGGCCATTGGCATTGTTATTGTTATTATTCAATACGCCATTGGGAAAGAGCAGCCCAGGACAGGAACCAATCCGAAGGGCAACTACTCTGTTGGACTCAGTTAATTTTCACCAGTGGTTACGTCCCTCGGTTTGTTCATCGGTCGCTGGGCCTCTGGTCCCCAACACTTCATTTACATAAATTTCAACGTACATGTTCATGTGCGTGTACAATATAAAAATTACGCCTGCCTTACATTCTTCTAGTATGTAAGGTATGTGTTGAACCTTTCCGTACGTTTACAAGGACATGTGTCTTATTATAACTTCTTAACCCCAACAATATTATAATTATACCCAAGGCCCACTGCTTTTTAAATAGGGGCTGCATTCGTGGGTTACAAAAAAGAGGGGGATGGGTTTTGTTTGTACTGGTGTGAAAGGCGTTAAGGTATGCGTTTGGGACTGGGTCACAGCCACCGCCTTTAGCACACATCTTAGTCATCAAATATGAGGCCAGTGGGTGTGCATTTCAGTTTCAGGAATAGATCCTGTTATAAACTTGCCCCCATCTCAGTTTAGAAACAGAAGTGAAGCGTTAGGGCTCTGCGACAGCTCGTGTGCAATAGACTACCCTTTTAGCTTGTGGTGATGATTTAAAACGTCCACGCAACAGTAATGATTCAAGCTCTTTCTTGTAATTTACGCTCATTTTCTTTCGTGTGAACTACTATCAATAACGTTCAGAATGACAAGGCGCAAAGATATGGAGCTATTAAGCTATCGGTATGTATGTGAGCTATATATGATTTGTATATCATTTATAATACGTGAAGTACATGTAGTACATGAATTAGCAACTCTCTCAACCAGGAAGTTTGCGGTTTACCAGTTGACACCGTTGCCTTTTCATTGTTCTGAAGTAGGCGAGGCCTAATTGAAGTGCCTGTACTTTACTCCATTCTTGACATTCTTTCTTAGCATTCTTTTCTTAATGGAATTGGAGAAAGGGCGCCTTGTTGCAGTTGTATTTCAGTTTCGAAGCCTGAAAATCCATTATCTGTCAGCTGAATTGCTATTACATGATACGAGGTCCTGTTATACTTCCACAGTCCATCTTTTTAGGGGGTGTGATTACTATAATGTTTTTAGAATCATCTGACCACTGTTATTATGTATGACTTCTCAAAAAGCTATGTGGTCATTTTTTTAAAATTTGTTTTATGGAGGGGGGTTATTGTTGTTGCTTTTTTAAATCTCAACTATTCTTTGAGTTTAGATAGTTTCTGTAAATGACAGTCGTTGGGGAGGTGATGGGTGGAAGTGTGTCTATGGGATGTGTATGTGTGTGTTTAAGGGGGGGGGGGGGGTGCTTTGCTGGTTTTATAAGCAGGTTTTTAATTTGAATTTAGATCCATTCTGGGTTTCCACGACACTGGACTACTTACTTACTCAATTAACCCATCTCATTTCACACAAATAAACAACAACAAAAACAGACACACACACACACACACACACCCG